GGGGGGGAGAGAAAGGTGACCTTGTACAGAATGAAAGCATTTCCTATATTCAGTACATAATAACAATAAAACCTTCTACTATGATACACAACGATAGAAACTTTTCTCTACTGTACAGAATAATGATGAAATAAAACATTCTACGAATGTAACAAGTAACGGTAAACTTGTACAGAAGAACAGGAAGGATATTGTGTTCTACAGATGTATAAGAATAACAACACTCAGATTCTATCATCATGAAGATTAACAATGTAACAAGTCCTAATATTGTACAAAACAGTAAGCGTGTTCCCCTTGAGAGAATTAGCTCCAAATGGTAGCACATTAAGGACACTTCCACCCGCTTATCCTGTCTTTTTAAGGGCTTCTTTGCCCACTTTTATTAACTCCAACATAAAATTACCCCCCACAGGTTCTCCCTCGCAGGGGTTTTCAAACATAAAGCACAGCTTTAACATTTGTAAAGTCGCACCGACACGCCGGGCTTTCTCTAACAGAACTTCTGGCCACACAGGTTGGTTCTCCTCAACTGGCCACACGGGCTAGTCTTTTGCCACACAGGTGATCTGCTCCCCAGTCCGCCAGACACACAGACTGGTTCCAGGGTGGGGCTCCTTTCTTAACCTCTTGCCGTCCGCCCGTAGTAAAAAAACGGACGGACGGCACTGCAGCATCTGCGGATCATCGGACAACACTTTTCGTCCGATGATCAAACGACGGCCCCATCCTGTCCCGATTATCGCAAGGTTGGATCCTGGTTGCAAGTCATTACACGCCGCCTGGCTTCCTTAATGGGAGTCGTGTAATGATTCGCTGCTCAGCTTCCTGATACCGGAAGTATCGGGCTAGGCATCGGAGCACTTGGGCGAGTACGAGTACTCGCCCAAATACTCGGCATCGGCACCGATACTAGTATCGCTATCGGTGCATACCTACTGGTGGCCGAGTCATTATCTGCCCCCCAGCTTCCTGATTGGCCGGGAAGCCAGCTCCATGCTCCCTGGTGTACTGTACAGGATACTGACCAAATGTACAAAAAATGTTCTACTTCTGTACAGAACTTACAGAACTAAAAAATGTTACTTTTAATATTTTACTTCTGTACAGGAAAACAGTGAGCAGGTTCTACTACTTACTCTAATACAAATATGTTGCTTCTGTTACAGTAAATAATAACAATTGCAATTGTGCAGAATAACAAAAATGTTCCAATACAGCACAGAATAACAATAGGCAGGTTATAGGGATGCACCAAAATATCGGCCGGCGAAACATATCGGCTGAAAATTGCACTTTTGGCTAAATGCCGAAAGTGCCATTTTCTGGCTGATACATCCATTCCTTCTCTCCTCCCCGCTGGGCGCTGCTCTGTGTCCCTGCCGGGGGGAGATAAACTATCACAGGCAGCCGATCGCTGCCGGAGGAGAGCGCTGTGAGCGGCCGGCGTCGCAGGTCAGGAGAGTGGTGTGTGGGCGGAGACAGTCAGCGCTGTCTCAGGAAGCTGAGCTCTCCTCCCCGCAACGCTCGCTCACTGACACAGGAAGGAGAGCGGGGACAAGCAGTGAGTGATCGCTGAGTGTTTGTAAATAATTGAGGACAGAGTATGGTTACTATATCCTCAATGATGAATGAATGGGAAGTGATCTACATCACCTCTACATCACTTCCTGTTCATTCATGGTTGTGGTTATAGTAACCATACTCTGTCCTCATGTTATGAATGATCAGGAACACTCAGTATAGAGGATTCCTGTTCATTGATAACAGGGGCTGCAGAATAAGAGATAGAGGACTCTGTGTGTGTCTCTGGGGACTCTGTGTCCCCAATCTCTTTTTCTATTATAAAAGGGAAATATCAGGGGTCTGTTTAGATCCCTGATATTTCCCTCGAAGCCCCTAAAAGTAAAGACAAGGTTCTGTTACCAGATACAATAGCAGTACATTCTTTTCCTGTGCAGAGTAACTGTATACAAGTTCTATCACTGTACAGAACAAAAATAAGCAAAAACATAAGAGGTCTATAATAACAATAAGCAGGTTGAGCAGAATACCAGGAAACACATTCTTACTTCTGTACAGAATAACAAGAAACAAGTTCCATCGCTGCATACAACGAAACAAGCAGGAAGTGAGACGTCTGTGCCGCATCTCCGCATTTCGTACCCATGTTCCTCTCCTGATCTTCCCTTCACAGGTCACAAGGAACACATTTTAGAGGCGCTGAGGCTTCTCTGCTCACTCCAGTCATCCATATGCAGGAAAGTTTGCAGGCAAGCTGACTGGCTCTGGCGAGGCAGCTCCTAAATGAAAGAGGCCCCCTTGTTGGGTGACCAGGAGGGAATCAATGGTCAGAAATAAAGGACGCCAAATCGAAAAGGTGAAAGATCGTTCACGATTCGATCAAACAAACACAAATTCGACATCTTTCAGGGACAACAACATTCCCACCTCGTCAGGGTTAGAATGGGATAAGGATTTGTTTGGACTCCAAAGATACTATTACAGTGGTGGCGAACCTTGGCACTCCAGCTGTGCAAAAACTACAAATCCCAACATGCATCTGCCTCTGGGAATTATGTGTGTAGCTGTCAGAGCCTTGCAATGCCTCATGAGACTTGTAGTTCCAAAACATCTGGAGTGCCAAGGTTCGCCACCACTGTACTATAACCAAATGGATCTCCATATGATTTAATGTAAAGATTTCCTTTAGGTCTCGTTCACACCTAGGCGTATTGCATATGCGCGACCATCGCGCGTTTTTTTTAACCGCGATTCGCAGTAAAAAAGTCACGCGACCGTCGCGCATTTCCGAAGGCTACTTGGCATCAATACCTTTGGCAATATAGTGTGTGTGGAAGCCGCACTGCCTTGCCAAGGCCCCTCTGTGTAGTGCGGCCCTAACTCTAATCTATGAGAACTGCCATCTTGGAGCATATTTATGGCAAAGGAAGATTTGGGTGAAGGTTCACCAGGAGGTAGCCCAATCCTCCTTAAAGGCACAGGGACACACCAGGAGCACATCACGATGGCAGCTGAAGCCCCCGGTGTCCCCCCCCCACACCTACTCCTGTTGGTGGCGCCATACCCCGTGGTACCAGATCTACGATCTCCTCTTCACTGTGTGCTGCAATGAAGGAAAGACAAATGTCACTGTTCCCACTGCCGGAGGACTCGGCTCGCACTCTCTTGTGTTCTGCGATATTTCGCTGGCAAAACACAATACAAATATTCACAAATGTGTCCAAAACAAAAGGATTACTTGGAAGCGCAGCGACTTAAAGGGAGCCAAGCTCATCTCCCGCTAAGAGAACATCGACTGCGACATGTCAGAGTCTTTCTTCTTCTTCTTCTCTTTATGACGAATCCCGAGCAATTATCACAGCCATCTGAACGCGCGGATTGTGCGTCTGGCACCGTCCTGCGCCATGCTGTTCCAATCATCAGGCACACACAACGTTGCACTCTGGGAGGGTTCTCCCATTATACGGCTGTCCCAGAAAGACCCTTCATAGGGGAAGTCTAATCTAAGTCCCAAACTTTGGTTTTCGTTTTTGGGAAATAGAGAAAAAGTTAAAAACCCGGCCGCCATTTTTTTTTTTTTTGGGCGCCCATATGGAGGATAAAAGATCCCGAAGCTGCGTTTCCTTGTGATGACGACCTATTCGGGTGATAAGACGATGGAGACCGATGATAATATATCTCCCATTTCCACTCATTATAATGTAACAGTTTTATAAACCCTTAAAGGGCAACTCCGGCGTTTGGGAAAAGAAATGGTGAATGCGTGAAAGAAAAAACGTGCATTGATTATTTTGTTGCGTAGGAGCAAGGAAAGTATCGCAGCGCTTGCAACGGTACAAAGCTCTGGCCAGTTGATGGACCACCAATGGTAAGTCTCTAGGGTCAGTTGATGGACCACCAATGGTAAGTCTATGGGGTCAGTTGATGGACCACCAGTGGCAACCTACCCCCATAGATAGCACAAATGCCATTTATTTCCCCCACATACAGTGAAC